AAGAAATTTTTGGTGTCAAAAATTCCTCCATATAACAAGCAGAAAATTATACAGTTCTGAATTTAGAAAAAGACAGATTGGATGTAGTCACATTAATATCTGCCCATAACCGTAGTTTATCAATATCTACAGTTAGTACCATATGGGAAAATGGATAATTTCAACTCATGGAAAAAATATAAACGTAAGATAAAATATTTTTAAAAATCTGATGTGGGCAACATACAACTTTCTTGTACAGCCTATTAATATACAATTTTTTGCTGCACTAGGTTTAAACTTATTTCCTTGAACTGTTCTAAATTAATTAACTGATTTATCAAGATAAGTTGAAAATTACATCAAAATTGCAAATTTTGAAATTAAATATCCCAGTAAATTTTTGTTGTATGGAATCAAGCTTCTTCCAGTTTTATTTTTTCATAACGAATATAAAACTTTCCCAAATACAAGCATAGCAACTGAAAGATCACATTAAAAGATAAATTTTGTTATATGTTTTTTTGTTTAATTCTACAATTGGAAGTATATAATTACAAGCAACAATTGTGAAAATAAGGGCTAGGTAAGGACTTTTAAGCCAGGTAATGTGATGTGATGTATTTAATTATGGCAAAGCACACTAGGGCTATCTGCCTAAGGGGAGGGATGCCTTCGTGGAGGACTTTCTAAGGGAAACTGGCTCGTATACACGTTACACATGGGGAAAACCACGAAAACGCCCATGCAGCCAGCCCGTTCGCGGGATTCGAACCTCGGACCGAACTACCAGTGTTTAGCGTCTTTACCGCTCGGCCGCTGGTGGGCCTAAGCCAGGTAATGGGGTGGGTGTATATACATATATGCATCCATTACATGTTGATAAGATGGAGACATTTTTCATTTTGTCACATATTTCTTGAATCTTCTAGAATCGTGGTTCTATAAATCTTGCCTTCAAATCCTTCTAATCTTTCTAAGCTGCAATATCTAAAATCCTAAAAAAAATTATCCCTACCAATTCTGTAACAGCAAAAAGCCAGAAATATTTTGGAAAAAAAAAGGGGGGGAAGGGAAAAAGTGTAAAATTAATTTTATAGAGAAAACTGATGCATATTCTGAGAATTTTGAATATTCTGAGACAATTACATGGGAAAAACTCTTACTGTAAAAAAATTAAAAAGTCAAAATTTTTAATTAATTACATAGTTAATTTTGCTTTTGTTAAGAGCCGTTTCATAAATTGTGCTTCATAGCATTATACCTTAATTATTTTTCAAATTCAAAATATTGTATAATAAGTAGCCAAAATGAAACTTTATAATATGACTGTGAAAAATAAAAATATTTTTATTTTAATGTTATTTTTTAAATATAATTTCAATATATTACCATTATTTTAATGAAATTTACCAATGTTACAATGTTTTTTTTAAAAAAAATCGAAAAATTCTCAGATCTTGGAATTAAAAATTTTCTATAGAAACTGATCTTAAAATCGCCAAACTGTTGATAAGTCGCCAAATTTAGAGCTGTTTAACCCCTTAACTGCCGCGGAAAACGTACAAGATTCATTCCCCAGTGCCACGGTTTTTCACATATCCGCGCATAGTTATGCGATTTATTAGGGGGAAAATAAGAGCAAGTTTTACTTTCTAAAAATTGTTTAGTTTCACAAAATAAACAGTAAAAAAAAAAAAAATGCATGCACAAAATTTAATATTTTGAGTAAAAATATAATAAAAAGATGTAAGTATAATAAAAATGATGTTTTTATAATAAAAAAGGTCCCTATAATGGGGTTTCGATCAATTCATTTTTAGACCAGTAAAGTGTAATATCATGTTTCAGTGTTATATACCTTGTGAAATCAGTATGCCTATAAAAACATATATTTGTTCTGAATTGGTTGAATGCCACGATATTGTTCTTGATTTTTCGTTTGCAAGGTGTTGTTGGTTCTTATATACTCTTCTACAAAACGGTTAGTTTCAGTAGTAATATAAAGCACGAGCAGTTCATCAAAAAATAATTCAAGAAAGATAAATGGGTTTGAAACATCCGTTATATCTTTCTTTATTCCTGGAACCTACTACAAAAAGTAAACGAAAACGGAGGACACAGAATAATAATAAAAAAAAAACGTTTTACTCAAACAACACTAGCCAATACCACGCAGTCATTACTTTCAGCACTTTAGACACGTCCCTCTCTCCAATTTCTCCCCACACTTCTCTGAAATAATATCCTCCTTCACATACTTAGTCAAGGTCATTCTGGTGTTGCATTCCAAAAGTTTGCGAATAGTTTAACGGGTAGTAGTGCAAAGCAACTGATAGTATTTTGTAAGGGCGTATATATACGCTCGGGGCAGTTAACGCATCGGCTGAGCAAGGCGTATATATACGCCCGCGGCAGTTAAGGGGTTAATAAAAGAATTTACATCCCCAAAAAGCGAAAAGTTGTTTAAGAGCTCTTTATTAGGAAAAAAATTAATTTCAAAATGCTTACGTTTCACTTCTTGCTTAGAAACTTGAGTATCCCCTCATTTATATTAGAAATAGAAACAAATTATAACCCATGAACCCATTCAAAAGATAACCATATACGTCAACGAATCGCAAAACACATTCCTCCAAAATGCTAATTCACACACAAAACGGCAGTCATAAAAACTGACAGAAATTTCAGATGATTAAAATTACAGACTTTCTGCTGATTTTGGCCAAAATTAAGTACTTTTAAGGATTCTTAAGGACCATACGATCCCTGAAGACAACTCAGATCAAATGATATTTAATTAATAGGATGAATTAAATGTAATGAAAAAAAATATAATTCAGATGAAATAAAAAATTTAATAAGAAAAATTATTCTGAAAATCATTAGAGTTCAGGGAAAGCAATTTGCCTAATTTAAGTTTCATTAATTCAATAAATTTCATTTATTGCTGGGAAACATTTTCCATAGTAAAAAGCTAAAAATTTATAAGAGATTTGGTGATCTACCGAGAGACGTGATGTAAAACTAGGAGAGTTAGCAGCTCTGCAATGCTATAATCACATCAGTCTTTTTATTTATTGCAATACATCAATAAATTTTTACACAATCCGTCTCTTATCAGAGTGGATTTCGCAAACTAAATTTTTGGTCCTTCAAAGTTTGCTGTAGAATTTTTTTTTTTAAATCTGTTACATGCTCCGCCATTTAGCACTACACAGAATGGGAGGAATGCCGGTGAAGGACTTTAAGGGAACTTAAAGAACCACACTTTTTGGCCTCATCCTTATTAATCTACTGCAAACCCTTCAAAACTTAAAGTACGAAAAGAAAACGAGATAGTTTGTCTTTTAAGCATTTACACATATATTCTATATATTAATAATATTTTCTCCTGCACTAGAAAATATGTTAAGCTACTTGCACATCTAAATTAATAGCATACTAAAAAATAATGCATAATACAAAACACAAAGGTACTTAAAAAAAAAAAAAACTAACAGCATTTTTCATAAATGTTTTCACCCCCTACTCATTTTGGATTTGGCCACAAATGTCCTGAAAAGGCAAAAGAATGATGTATTTTTCTTATATAATTCCAAACTGACCTTTCCACTTTGAATCTTCTAATTTACTGCTTTAATGGTTTGGGGAGATTCCAAGATACACATACAATTACTTAACAGTAATGAGACAATAATCTGGTTGTAACGGAAATTTTCCACCACAAACTTTTTCTTAATAAAGTTAGGGGAAAAAATCATTAAAGCAGTTCATTTAGTGCAAGTACTGTAATCACCACACAAATCTATAATTTTTCTGCCACTGTTTTGGTAGTTTTCAAAGCCTTGGGCACAGTAACTTGGTGACTGCAAGTCCAAACAGAGATCAACCTCATTTTGGACGTCCTGTGCAGAATGGATAATAGCAAAAGCAACATGTAGCTGCAGGTGTGAAAAAAGGTTGAAGTACGAATGAGGGATGTCAGGGACATATGGTGGGTGGGGCTAAAGATCCCATTCGACTCCATGCAGGGTCCAGCCTATGAAGATAGACACATGTGGTCTTGCATTATCTTGATGGAACATTGCCTTTGTGTACAGGAACTCAGTATGACGTTTTTCCTTGATAACAGCAACAACACAGACTAGCATCTAGCCATACACGTTACTGTCGAGGGCTTTACCTTTTCTCAGATAATCTTTGTAGATAATACCACAGAAATACCACCAGATATAAAGCTTGATCTTTTTGTTAGTCAAATTGGGCTTTGTGGCATTGCTGATAGGTTCGCCAGACACAGACCAACCCCTTTTTGGCCTGTGTTGTTGAAGTAAATCCACTTTTCATCACCGATCCAGAATTTTGTCCTTGCCTTGATATTCTAGCAGATTAGTGCAGGCCTGAACATGCCTGCCCTTATCTGCTCGAGTCAGCTCATGTGGCACCCAGCGACTGAACTTGTACATGAAATTTATGCGATGCATAGCACAACTAATGGACACAGCACTAACATCTAACTTCTTAGCAAGCACTAGAGTGATTACATATTGATCTTCTTCCCCAAGCTCTCGCAGGCGGGCCTCATTAATATCCATGAGCTGGCCAGAGTGCTCTGTTTTTTGAATATCCTAATACATGTTTTTGAAATTTCGGTACCAAACTTTCAGTGTCTTATGATACAACATTAGTACCTAAAGCTATACTCATGATTTGGTGACATTATATAGCTGACTTTTTGCAACAGAACTCAAAGTAAATGATGGTTCTAATCTGGTAGCATGATAGTTCCATTTCAGATACCTTGTACTCAATGGTAAAATTTGTTTTACAAATTTCACAAGTGTTCTAAAGCAAGTCCCTTTCTTTCAAATACCAAAAATTGTTTGATAAAATATGATTGAATATGCCAGCGCGAACTGTTTGGGCAGACGATATTTGTGGTGGAGGGAAACTTTCGCTAAAACCCGATATTATGTAAGTATGTAGCTTGAAATGTCTAAGGATTAAAATTCACTTACCAAAATACTCCGAAGTACTGATGAAGTGACAGATTCTTTAAGCCACAAGGAAAATGAAATGTTTTCCTACATTTTGTTAAAGAGCATCCAACAGTTGCACCACTTTTCTTACAGTAAGAACATTTCTAAAACATTTTAAAAACTACAAGTTAAAACATAAATCACATACTATTAATTATTATTTACATGTACAGTAGAATTATTTAAAATGAAAAATTAAAATATACCCACTAAATACACACACACAAAAGTTAATTTTTAGCAATAAAAACAGACATAATTACTGCCCTTTTAAATTACTTTTTTTTTTTTTATTTTATACCTACAATACCTAAAGTATTTCATAGAAAATAAATATAGGCCTATTACAATGTACAATGCACTGTATAAAAAATACACAATAGAGAAAAGTAGGTTATAATGGATATTAAGGTATGTGATAATGTATGAGGGGCATGCCAGGCCATATCAGTAAATTAGAGAGACGAGGTCATAGCATTTTGGAGGTAGAGACTAAGTTTAGAATTTCAAACATCGCCATTTCAAGAGTGTACAGTGAATATAAGAATTTTAGTGTACCTTTGAACTTGTGATCACGATGCAGCCATAACAAAGATTCTGGATAAATATGATTAACATGGTAAGAGTTGTTTCATGTGATGACAGTAAAATACTATATCAAGTAACACTGTAGTTCAATACTGGGGACTCAACAAATGTCACAGTGAGGGCTATGGAATGCTTCTTTCATGATATGGACTTTAGATGTGGATGCCATAACTACAGCAGCTATGAAGGATGGATGTACAATGGTTCTTTGATAAAAGCCCACTGAACAAAAGTGCATGCAACAAAGCCCACACCTCTCTCCCCTCAAAAAAAGAAAGGGAAAAAACTGCAATATTGGCCTCGTGACAAATACCAACATGGATAAAAGTCCACACTAATGTAAATCCACATGAGTAAAAGGGTACATGGTCCTTATCAATAATGTGTTTATGATTGTAATTACAAAAAAGAAAGAAAAAAAGTCTGAAATGTTTTAGATTTTAAATTACGTCCAAAGAGGCTTTTCTTTTCTTTTTGTGTGTGTGTGTGTGTGTGTATGTGTGTTACCTTTATTTATTAAATATCATGTTCTTTGCACTTAAACCATAAAATTTAGTTCAATAGCAATGTCGCAATATAATTTTAAAATGAGCCCATCTTTAGAATTTTCGATACACAGTCCCACGCGCTGGAGATAAAAAGTCCCTCACCCCTTAGGTTGTTGCCATTGCTCACTTCCAAATTGTTGAGTTTGCTACTCAAAAACTCATTAAAGTTTTACAAAATATGAAATCGATAATAAAACAAATTCCAAATGAAAAGACAAAGGGAGACGCTTGGTAGCAGAATTTAGGACACAGAGAGACTGCATCAGGTGGTAAGATATCTAGTGCCAGCCCTCAATAAGCTTTAGGTATATGTGGGAATTTATTTATTCAGGACTCAGATAAGCCTTAAGCATGTGCGAGAAACAGATATAAGTATAGTAAATAACTAAACTAATACAATTCAGGCTTAAATTTCTCAGACCGCAATACAAGATAAAATTTAATGGAACAACTTGTCTTGGTCGTCAATCTCATGATACCTAGCCAAATATGTATAGTGAACGATAGCTAAATTTTATGATGATAGCTGCAAATTTCAAAGGTTTTCAGATATTGCAAATTAAAGGTGAAATTTTCTAATTAAAGAATTTTGTAAAGAAATGTAGAGAAGCATTAATAAATAAAGAAGATAGAAAAAAAGTTTTTCATTGTGACGACAATGCTCCTCAATCATCAATCAATTAATGGACAGCAAAATCTGTAGTATGGTTCTAGATTCAGAAAATACCACTATCGATAGTGAAGAAAGTGACAGAGTGTTTACTGAAAACGAAAAAATTTCAATTGACAAGTTAGTCAGAATTCTCGACACGGCAATTACAGGACTTCAAAAATGTATCTAAACAAGAAATTATGTCTGTCTACAGAATTAAAGAAAAAGTACTAGCACAAAAAAAAAAAAAAAAAAAAAAAAAAATGAAAGAAATGTTTAATAAAGTAAATAAATAAATATTAAGTTTTCTTTTTTTTGTAAATTTTGATACCCCCCTTTTTTTTTGTAATTGGAAGCATTTATGATTTTGATCATAAAGGCTTCATTATTTCATAAATCACGATTTCATATTTTTAATTTAATAATTTCTACATGCCATTTTACCAGATTTAAGCTGATGATCTGAAATCCGGAATTGTGGAGGTCTGGACTTGGACTTAGTACTGTATTATGTGTGTTACAATGTGAAGTTCTTCAAAAGTTATTTTTAATGTTATATGAATAATTATACATATGTTTCCACATTAGAAAAAGAGGGAGATGTTGCTTGACTAAAGAACAAAATAAATTATTTTTACAGTAACACTGGAATGTATTTAAGCCTCTTAGTTATTGAACTATAATGTCAAGTAGTATCCTTAAGAACTCATATATGTTTATTTGCAGTTGCCCGCAACTCTTCATTTTAATCTGGGTATTGCCCTTTCCTTTTCTAAAAATCAAAATTGCTTATAATGAACTTCTCCAAGCTGCACCATTTCGAAATCAATAGTCACCACATCATATGACTTTGACATAATGCTGGTGACATAAATGATTTTGCAAACTGAAGCTAAATGAACCAATAATTTTACAGAGTTACTAACAAGCTACTCAAAATGCTATTGTAAGCAAAACTAACTCACTCAGAATTAAAATTTTGCTTCGGAAACATCACATTTGCTTTCTGCTTCTTAGCCTATCTGGCAGGGCTGTAGAATCGGAGTTGGGCAGATTTTGGGGTAAAAGGAGTCAGAGCTGGAGTCGCTAAAAGCAGGTCGACTCCGACTCCAGCTCCTGATTTTAGCGACTCCAGCTCCAGTTTTTGTTTGACAGTTTGAATTTGAAATGAAATTAAAATTAATTGAAAAAATTAATGACATGCTGAGTTATTATTTTTATTTATGAACTATATACTTTAATACATAGTTATTTTCTATTTTATTGACATATTAATAAATAAATATAAGGGAGGAGGATGGATGTGATATTTGTCATTAGTGATTAAACTGATTCACTTAGGTAAGCAAGCACTGGTAAATTTAGGTAAGCAGCAATAGCAGAAAGAACTCCCAAAATTGATGCCATTCTTAGCAAGCAAGCAGGAAAAGGAGCAATTATTGACCAAGCAACACAATGAGGAAGTACATATTTGATGATAAAGAGGTTGTTAGAATTAAGAACTTTTTTAGAAGATGAACATAACCCTAATGTTTCACTAACAGAAAGACTGTGAAATGATCTTGCAGAATTGGAAACTCTTCTTACTATACCATATATAGCCACAAAAAGCTGCAATCTGATGAATTGATAGGAGGCAAGAATGGAAGAATGTGATGTTTGTTCTTTCTGAAATGGAGAATTTATTGTAGAAGGAATCATTTCTTCTATGAAGAAAAGAGAAACTAGTTTGCTAGACAATGAGATCTTGCTGGGTTCAATATATGTAGATACGAAACACTGAATTTCCTTGGCTGACAAACAAATTAAAAAGGTAAAGAAAGCCATCTATGAACTTTCATTAAGAATGAAATTATTCTTAGAATAATTGGAGAATTTGAATCAGGACAGTCAAACTGCAGACACTGCAATTGACTATCATCCTCTTCCAAAGATGAATTAGATTTTGAGAAATATTTTTGGATAACATTGGAAAAGGCTAAGGCAAAGCGAATGAAAATAAAGAACCAAGAGCCTTTAGATATAAAAATGAAAAAATACAAACAAGATTTCTACACGGCCTTTGAAGAAATAGAGAAATATTGTTGTGCTTGCAAGACACCTCTTTTAGAACTTATAAAAATCTATCCTGAAAAGTTAAAAGAAGTAGCCCTAACAGTAACAGCTCTTCCTCCTACTCAAGTTAGTGTGGGAAGACTCTTCTCAGCTCTGAAGTTTATCAAATCGGATCTATGGCCCTCCAACAAAGAAGATCTTGCCGAAGCTATACTGTTTCTTAGAAATAACTAATGCCACTTTTTCCATTTCATAATAAATGCTAAGTAATATAAATAATTTGCTAAGCCATCATTTTTTTCTGTAGTATCTATTATTTCTTTTATATTAAAAAAATAAGCTGTAACCGATGTTTACATATATATATGAGGGAGTCGGAATCGAGCCGGAGTCTGACATTTTCCCTACTGACTCCACAGTCCTGCTATCTAGGCTGCTGCTGCACTGCTTTTTTCTTACCGTAATTATGTAAAATAAGTAAATAATCTGAAACATGCACAATTAATGTGCAAATTTACTTGTGCCCGCATGAACATTAAAACATGTCATGTCTGTAAGCTTCTTCTAGTAGGACAGATCAGCTACCTTCAACACATCTAATTTATTATATATATATATATTAATTCACAAGTCAAACAACAAAAATCAGTGTAATTTTCAAAATTTTCACAGGACTAGTTGGATGGTTTTACCGAACCACCATCTCAGCTGCAGCTGCAAAACGCAAAATGAACAAGATAGGAAATAATGATTTGATAAGATAAGAAAGCCTGGACAAGAATAAGCAAGTGGCACCATCTGTTGGTGAAACCAGAACTAAAACATAATTTTTTTAAAGGCTAAAGGCAAAGATGGATAGGAATTAGGATCGTTAACAAGAACAAAGATTTTTTTTTAATGTGAAATGCCTCTAGAAAATCCAGTTCTCCAATGGAAGATGTTTTTTGAATAATTTTGGCAGCAGAAAAATTGAAAGTGTGATTTTCGGACCAACAATGTTGAGCAACAGAAGACTTCTGTGTTTCCATTTTCTAACATATGCCTCGTGTTCCTTGATGTGAAATTTTTAGGCTCTCTTAGTTTGGCCAGTGTAAATTAAACCACACTGGCAAGGAATCATATAAATACCCCAAGAATTCATATCCGGAATGGGGTCCTTGAGTATGGAACTCGGAATTTTATTGATGGGAGAATAAACAACCCGAAAATTAAATTTCTGCAAAATACGTGCAACTTTATAGCTAATTGAGCTAATAGCTTT